GCTTCTGGAGACATTTTTTCATGAAAAAACGTTTGTTTGTTCGTTTTATAAGGATGCCGTCCCACGGAAAATGAAATCGGAACGGAATCGGAAAGGTGAACTGGTGAGAGTAGTCAATCAGTATCGTTCCGAAAATTTCATAGCTTTCCGTTCGTATTTTAAATCTGGTTCCCCATGGAGCATATTTTTCAAGAAACGGAATCCTAACCTTATTTTTTTCAGTTTGATACTTTTTTATCATTTTATTCAATTAATATACTACTGTGATCAAATATAAACGAGATTTTTAAATTTAAACTGCGCGGGTTAATCGATTCTGACAAATATTTTTTTATTAAATTGGTAGTACTGTCTTTGACATCTGTGTGAAATTTCATGTCATTCTCTTCATTTAATAGTGAACGCTCGTTTTTGTGAATATCCAAAAGTATTTTTTTCGTTTTTTACGATGTGTGATTCTGTTGGGCAAAGAAATTGTATTTTATTTTGCGGAATGAAATTTCTACTACTGAAACGTTCAGAATGTTGCAGAAGGCTTTTGATGACCAGACTCTATCAAGACCAAGAGTATTTGACTGATATAAAATGTTGAAAGATGGTCGAGAAAGCGTAGAAAACGAACCACATCAAAGACGATCAAAAACATCAGCTGAACAACACATGAAACAAATCAAGGATTTGGTGCTCCAAAATCGTCGATTGACAATTAGAGAACTTACCGATACTGTAAACATTTCATTTTCATTTGGATCAGTCCAGACCATTTTGAAAGACCATTTGTGCTTGAGAAGAGTCAAATCTCGTTTGGTTCCGAAAACACTCAATTTTTTGGAAAAACAGCGTCACGTTGAAGTATGTGAAACAATGATTTCTGACTACCAGGATAAGATGAAACGCATGATAACTGGAGAGACTTGGATCTATGTGTAAACCCGGAAACAACCGACCAATCGAGTGAATATCGTGCAAAAAGTGAGGCAAGACCAAAAAGATCGCGCCAAAGTCGCTCAAAAATCAAGGTTTTGTTAACAATTTTCTTCGATTATCGTGGTGTGGTGCATTATGAATTCCTTCCGCCGGGCCAAACTGTCAACAAGGAATATTATTTAAGTGTTATGCGTCGTTTGCGTGAAGCTATTCGCGCCTCAAGATGCCAGATTTATGGGCAGACAACTCATGGTTTTTGCACCACGATAATGCGCCATCTCACACTGCACTGGTTCTTCGTGACCATTTCGCCAAAAACTCGACCCATATCGTTCCACAATCACCGTATTCGCCTGATTTAGCACCGTGCGACTTCTGGCTATTCAGTAAACTCAAAAAACCGCTCCGGGGACACTGTTTTGAGTCGATTGAGGAGATACAAGTCGAAACAAAGAAGGTATTGAAGGGCTATTCCGGAAGAAGAGTTTTCAGAGTGTTTCGAGGATTGGAAAAAGCGTTGACATAAGTGTATTGCATCGGGAGGGGATTATTTTGAAGGCGACGAATTTGATTTTGAAGAATAAATAAAGATTTTTCACTCTATAACAAAAATCTCGTTTATATTTGATCACAGTAGTATATTAATAATCATGTATAATTTTTCATCATTTAATTTAATTAATATATTAATTAAATAAAATGATGAAAAATTATCAATTTAAAAAAATATAAGGTTAGAACGGATTCCGTTTACTGAAAAATATGCTCCATGGGAACCAGGGTGTTTAAAATCGGAACGGAAAGCTATGAAATTTTCGAAACGATGCTGATTGGCTATCCTCACCATTTCACCTTTCCGATTCCGTTCCGATTCCATTTTCCGTTCCGATTCCATTTGCCCATGAGACAACATCTTGATGGAATGAACGAATAAAGGTTTTTTTCATGAAAAAATGTCTGCAGAGGCGTCCAAAAATAATTAAAATATTTGTCTTTATCTACATGCTCCATATCATGAACCTGATTTGCTTCATGGAAAACCAGGGTACTTAAAATCGGAACGGAAAGTTATTTGAAATTTTCGGAACGATGCTGATTGGCTATCCCCACCATTTCACCTTTCCGAAAGAGGACCTCTGAGGGTCAATCATGTAACTTTTCCCCTAGGACGGAAACGTGAAAATGTGAAATTTTTCACGTGAACTTTTTCGTCATGTATCTTGATGGCGGAAAGGCGGAAATCTAGGGAATTAATAAATATGCTTCGGAATTAGAGAAGATTAGAATTGTGTTAGGATTAAGTGTAGTACATATACAATTGGTTATTAAAAGATGTATATAATACTGTACCAATAAAATAATTTTCATTTCTATAAAGTTATAAAATCGATGAAACTATGTTTCATGATTTCACTTTTCACGCATCCAAGTTACATAATCGCTGTATGTGAAAAGTTTCACGTGAAATGTCAAAGTGTGAAAAATGAAAAGTAAAAGTGAAAAATGAAAAGTGAAAAATTTCATAAAGTTACATGATTGACCCTCAGGGTGCTGTCTTATGGACGGAAAACGGAATCGGAACGGAATCGGAAAGTTGAAATGGGGACAGCCAATCAGCATCGTTCCGAAAATTTCATATAGCTTTCTGTTTTAAGCACCTTGGTTTTCCATGAAACAAATTTAGTTCATGATATGGAGCATGTAGATAAAGACAAATATTTTAATTACTTTTGAATGCCTCTGAAGATATTTTTCGGCTGTCCCCATCATTTCACTTTTCCGATTCCGTTCCGATTCCGTTTTCCGTGGGACTCCCATTTATGTTCCTCATTATACATAAGGAAAAAAGTAGGAGTCAGCAGTCTAATATATAAAAGTCTGTGGATTGGTCACACTCATGAATATATCTGAGAATATATGGATGGAGCCTGTGCGCGGAATAACTGAAATTAGCGGTAAGGGGAGACTACATGCACTTCGGCTATTACCATTCTTCGGATATATTCGATTTTACGTGAAGATTGTTTATATACACTACACACACACACACACACACACACACACACACACACACACACACACACACACACACACACACACACATCACACAGGATATCTCAGAGCAATGGGAAACTATTTTCGTGCGTAGATAGAGCGGGCTAAACTGAGTCGAAAAGTCTTGTATCATTTTGCAATTTTCGCAATAGTTTAACGAGTTATTAATTTATAAAAATCACTTTATTAGCCCGCCAGCCCACCGGCAAATGCAGCGCTGGATGTTGTACCTGTTACAGCAACCCATGCTGGATTGCTGCTCGATTTTTGCCGGCATATAATGTGTAGTATGATTTTGCATTTGTATTTTTGGCACGTTTTGCTATCTGGGATAAGTTAAATTATCGTTAAGTAAGTATAATTATCGTTATAATTTTTTCGTTTTAAATTATCGTTATAATTTTTTTATTATAATTTTGATATTATATGTACAATTAAATCATAACCCATTAATTTTTATATGTGTTTAAATGTAAATGGAATATTTTGATCAGATTAAGCCAATTTCACGTTACGCGGTGATAGAATTTTAATAGACTATAGAACCACGCATATGTAAATCGGCAGTGAGACTCGATCATGAGTAATCCTAATAATAAAAATAAATAATCGTTGCGGGTTAATCATGAGCAATTGAAAATGATTGTTGCAAGCGAAGAAACATGAGATTTATTTTATCTTTTTGTAAACATTCATGTCCCAGAAACGAGGCACTCTCCTGGTTTATGAGAATCGATTATGGCTTAGGAAGATCATCAAACGTCTACTTTCTCCAAATAATATGGTTTAAATATCCAAATATAATTAGTGTAATAACTTTCTCGATAACGAATACGGTATATTAGGTTATATTTAGACTACCGATTGTGCTCTTGCATTTGTATTCATTATATATGCATTTAAGGCTCTTATTACTACTATGAATTTACAATTTATTTTATTTTTGGTTATGCATAATTCATTTCCAGATATATGATTATTTATTAATTAATAGAATAAAAGAAGAGTTTTATATTTTACAAATTGTTTTTGTTGATTGTAAGTGTTGCTTTATTGAAATATACTTTCAAAAAGTACATACTAGTACTAGTACAGATAGAACTTCTGCAACAATAATGATGAATGAACACATATAGAAAGGAAGACAGGAATGCGTATATATATTTTTTTATTTTCTGACTTTTTGACAAATTTTTAATAAATTTTAGTATTGTGACTGCTAGAGAAACTTGAATTTCCTCAAGTGAGAATATACAACGAACGATCAACATCAACAGTATTGAACAAATGTCAGGTAACAGAGAGATTGGTATAAAAATTGAAATCAGTAAGTCAATGTCGGATTTATCGTTTTTCAAGGTATCCAGGATCTGTATAGATTTAATTCATACATTCGAGGAGAAGCGTTTTTGTATGACGCGCAAAATCACTTGTCTCTGAGTGAATCGTTTCCATCGCAGATCGATCGTGAAAGACGATGCCGACAACAACAGCATCAACAACAACAACAACAACGGCGACAACATCGACGACGACGACGATGGAAACTCAGTAATTGCCTTCGGTGTACATCGGCCGTGAGAGACGAGGCATATAACTCGCAAATAGCCGTTGAAATTTCCCAAGACTAGTCTTTGTAATGAATAAGACACGCGTTTCAAAGAATTTTTTTATTTATTTGATCGATTGGCATATAAAGTGTATAATGTTATTAGTGTGCTGGTAAGATTGTTATTTTTAATTAAAATAATTTTCATTCCGTTTTTAAAATTTCTCGACAATATTATTTTCTGAAAAAACTAGTTATTGCAAATATTACAATTAGGAACGTACTACAAGCAGGATAGGATGTTAATCAAATTGGAATTATCTGTTGTATTTTATAATCGCCACATGTTATTGCAGGACATTCCCTCTTCAAGAGATGCACCACCTACATATTCCTCGATATTCACTGATTCGATGTCGCGCGAATTTACTTTCCCAATAAATCAATCGTTCGTTGTGGCACAAATTCCACCACCAAGCTATAACCAAACGCAAGGTCTTACAGAACCTTCAGTGGATCCATCGTTCTCTGTATCTCGTAAAATAATTTCAAAATATTTCCATAATCGGAATTAAAAATTTTTTTAGACAATTAAAAGAAAATTTATCTTAAAGTATCAGCTGTCTTGTTAAAGTTTTCCAAGAAAAATGTTTTTGATAATTAGTGGCTAGTAGCTTACATGACAATTAAATGGCACTAAGCTTGACAAGTATATTTAATAAGACGTAAAATAATACTTTCTTTCATCAAATAGTTTCTCCGAGGAAAATTTTAATTGGTAATTAATGTTTAATGTTTATGTGATAACTAACAAAGCATAAACACACAAACATATTTAGTTTCTTAAAGTAACTAACGAGATGATATAAGATGATATAATTTAATTTATTCCAGCAAATGCGACAGGTGACTGGCCGCGAGTACCTGCAGCTGCGATTTGTCCTCGATGCACAACGTTCATCATCACTGTTGCAGTAGCACGTCGGTCTACGATTACTCATCTTATGGCATTAATGCTCTTTTTATTAGGGTACGCATATTTTTAGTATATATTTACTATAAAAGTAATAGATAGAATAAATAGAATATTTTGCCTATGACAATCTATGATTTTAAGAATTGTACTTTCCATCACACAATTCTATATTAGCTACGATTTAATGATCTATTATTATTATTATTATTATTATTATTATTATTATTATTATAATTATTATTATTAATCCTATATCATTTCTTTTGTCAACAGGAAATTAATAGTTTTATTCATATTAGTAAAATTATACAGATATTATTGTATCATAAATTAATCACTTCTTCAGATCAAAGTTTCTCACTTTGAGAGAATGAAAAAATATTTTGCTACCGAGTAATTTTTGCGTGTTTGCAGGTGTTGGCCATGTTGCGTGATACCATACTGCACGAATTCTTGCGACAGTGTGGATCATTATTGTCCTATCTGTCGCGCGCATCTTGGAACTTACACACCATGGTAACAAATGTCGCTCGTAGAATAATTTAGTGAGCGGCTTTCTCGTTTAAAAAAAAATCTACGTTCGCACTTCTGTGCTTTTTCTCTTTACACCATTACACTTTATCTCGCGATCGGTTAAATTGTACATGTACATAATGAGGAAATAATATATCTATGCGAAACTTTTCAAACCGTATCTCGTAGGGCAGTCACTCTTATTCAACGGCAATTATAATCGATTTAAGCGGCGAGAAAGTCAAGTATTTATCTCGATCCAGGAGACAAAGACAATACCTGTTATTCGGGACGTCAATTAAATTTCTCGACTTTCTCTGAAATTCTTATGTGTAAGTGGATGCTTAAAACTTAGCTTAGCTGGACACTGTAGGTTGATGCATGATATATAGACCGTGTAAACAGTATTTCTGGGTATATTAGACTTGACACCTTGGACTCGTACAAGTTAGTTGACGTTCTGTCAAGTGAAATGCGCGGTTTACCTATAAAGTCGAATTGTGAAGTTTTTGAAAAAGTCTACATAATAAAAGTTTAATAAAGAAGAGTTAATTTATCTACGACATTAACGGCATTAACGGCCACCTTTTTTATCTGCAGAAACGTATTGAGAGTCTTAAGATGATCAGAGATCAATCATTGATTGCGCTTTTGATATGCTTGATTTTGCTTCACACTTACATAGATGCCTGGCACAATCGCAGCAGGCACAGAATCGCGGATAGAAGACGAATGTGGCAAATAAATGGTAATAGACCTGCTTTTACCACCTCAGGAATAATGAAACGTAAATGGGAATCGTCAGAATTTCAAAATAATAATCTCACTCAAAATATTAGAGAGAAAAGACGTGAGTGGAATATACATGTAAATATCACAGTTTAAAGGAAAAAAAAAAAAAATTCAAAGAAAAGAGAAATTCTTTACTTTTCAACCCTAAAAGATCTCTAGAAAATATTCTCTTTTCTAAGTTTGAAAAAAATGATTTTTTTTTTGTCGAGCTGTGACTGTGATTTAATAGCGTGTAGTAAAGAGAAAAACATATTATGCGATTATCATGTACATGTGTATATAGTCTTCTCGCTGTTCACACTGGTCAAGTTCGAGAATAATATCTGCGGCGGATTAAACGGGGAGAACGGCACGTGCGTTGCAGCGGCGGAATGCGCGCAGCGTGGCGGTATCTCCAGCGGCATTTGCGCGAATGGCTATGGAGTTTGTTGCATAGGTAAATAAGATATCTGGAATGGAATTGAACATTCAGACATACAATGAAAATATGTTTTAATTATGTAATTTCTCAATTGGCATTTTTACTTCATTCTTGACAGTCACAGTATCCTGCGGTGGAATGACAGCTGACAACAACACGCATTTTGTCAATCCAAATTATCCATCCACTTTTGATGGCATGAATTCGTGTCAACTGACATTGGTGAAATCGCATCCGGATGTATGCCAGTATCGGTATATATATATAATATATTTATGTGTGAAAATATTTAAAAATTGTATAATTATTAATTAACTCTAAGAGTTTATAATTATTCATAATTTCTGAATTGAAAATTGTATATGGAGATGTTGCTTGATTTAATCCTTGGTTTTTTTTATTCTAGGTTGGACTTTGTACAATTCAATATTAGGGGTCCGGAAACAATGAATAACGTCTGCACTTATGATCAATTCATTGTTTCCGGCGGTAATCCGGTGCCAACGATATGCGGTAACAATGATGGAAATCACAGTAAGTAAAGAGAAATATGATACTTTTACATTTTTTATTTTATCGATATAATCATTTAAATGACAATTGAATTCCTTACAAGCTGAATTGTCTTTACAGTGTATATAGACACGGGTGTCGGGCAAACTAATCCGGTTACCTTGACTTTTGTTACGAATGGCAATTCTTTTCCACGATCATGGAAAGTTCGAATCTCGCAGATACGATGTAGTACGATATATCGAGCTGAAGAGGGCTGTCTTCAGTATTTCACCGGTGTCTCTGGTCAAATAAAATCCTTCAACTACGATCCTACGGCCGGACTACAATTGTCGAATCAAGATTATAGTATATGTATCAGAATGGAAAGAAATTTTTGCGGCATTCAGTATATGGCGTGTACTGATGATGGTACAAAAGAAATATAATTTACTGGTTGTTACTATAAAAGGGATAGTCTGTGTATATAATATAGAATAAAATATAATAGCAATTCTCCAGCAATTTTTAAAATAAATTTGTTTCTCTTTGGTGTTGATTGTATGTGATTTGTTTCCCAGCTCAAGGAATAATAATGCCTACCACATTTGGTACTTCGGGTCAACAAATAATGCGTAGCAACGCATTCACGCTGACGGGTAATACGCAAACCACGCAAATTGTGTCGATGACAGGTACATCCTGTACAACCGATTGGCTATCGATACCCTGTGCCACGAATCTAGGTCGGATAACCACGAGTCCATTGACATGCGTCGATCGATTATGCGGCGGTACTTTCAATTCAGAACCGCAAAACTTTAACGCGTCTTCTGTTATTAGTAAGTATTTCGGTCGTAATGCTATATCGTGCAAGTGGAAAATTATCGATCTTTTTACATCCTGATCCTTTAAAAAGGAAAACATGTATAGTTTAATAATTTTTGAAATGTTTCGGGGTTGCTTTTAATACGAATATTAAAATCTTTGTAAATGATTTTTATATCCTTTTTTTTCCAATTACTCTTTTAGGCACCGTGAAACCATTCAGATTGATATTTCACACGGATAGTACCGAGGGACCTGTTGACGTTGGAAATAGAGGCTTCTGTCTTAATTATGTTCAACAACCATGTACGACGAATTTGAAATGAAGGCCATTTTATTAAGTATAATTAAAGAATTAAAACGTAAGTTTATGGAACCTTAATTTTTATTTCAAAATTTGTAACACACATATTTTTTTGTAACCATATTGACATACGAAGAATTCGCTTAAAAAGCAGTCGGTAATCTATTGTTAGTTTTACATAAATGTGCCGCCGTACAAATAAAGTATGCGTATCTTTCTCAACGCGCGCGAACATTCCTTTACATTTATATCACGCACATTCTTAAGAGATTAAAGAACAAACCAGAGACAAGAAACGCATTTTTTCAAACTTTTAGTAGATGTCTAGTATACTTATATACATATCAGAATCAATGATAAAATATAATGCTCGATAAAATATTATGAATTATAAAAACAGGACGGTAAAGATTATCATCATAAAAATTATCATGTTGCTGTAATTATTTAATCGATCAGTTAATGTTTAGAGTAATAGTGATAGAATATTATAGTATTTATAGTATTCACAAACTTTTCTTTTCATCATTGATGTCTACAGATTGATAGACTGATTAACGAAGGATATGATGTAAATTAATTTTAAATCAACACTATAGATGTGTACATGCATTTATACATTTAATAAAAGCGGAAATAACCATTTCCATCTTATACTTAGAAAGCAAAAACTGTAATAATGTAAAATGACAAAACACACACATATACATGTACGTGCACATGTATATATGGACATATATATATATATATATATATATAATGTATACACATGTAGTATGCGATATATGCAGGCTGTTTATTTTTTAATTAAAAGTTTAAAAA